CTAGAAAGCATTATGCGACATTCCTTGAAAAATTACCTTAGTAGGGGATTAATCAAAAGAGTATTCCACAAGTTTTGATAAATTATTGAAGGCTGAGAGAAAAAAGTGTGATTAAATGTAGCCATTGGTCATTGAGATATATGTAGAGTGAGAGCGCTTTTACTCTCATGCAAAACGTGATTTAATGCTAAATAATAGGAGATACTCCATATCATAGAGATTATGTTGATATTCACTATAAAATTGAAAGAATAGCATACTGCTCTACTTTGCTTTTATAGTATTCATCACTTTTCAAACTCTTCTCCTGTCATACTAACCTCTCCCATGCATACGGAGAAAGCTTCTTTGGTGTCCATAGCTAGTCGTCTCAGCTCATCCTACAATATAATCTATATGATCACTAGGGCCTTTATAGTAAACCACATGAGCGGCCAGTGTACAACGCAAACCTTTTCTCTTTTCAGATCGTCAGAGAGCCTTTTTAGCTTCTTCAAGTGGCCGTCGTCTTTTATGGTTCGCGCCAACTCGCCATAATTAACGTCACCCATCGGTCGAGGACTAAAAAATTAACTTTACAAAATTTTTCGTGGCAGAGTCATCAATCATCAGATTTCCTACATCACAGTTTACTTCTACCAAACAACTTACCTGATTCTGAATCGATCCTCACTTGAAGGAATATCACTTTCATAGTCTTCGTCGTCCTCAGTTAGTTGTGATAGGCGAATATTCTTGTGCGCCTCGGTTAACGCCACCTTCAATTTCATGTTCTCCTCGCGAAGAGCGCCAAAATCCAACGAGAGCACTGAAATCCCTTTGAGAATTTTCGAGCTCGGGATATACGATGTGGCCCGACCTGAAATCGCCCCTGCGTTTGCACAGCACTTTGCTGGGTTACAGTGAGGTGATGTGGGTGAACTACTGGGGAAGAGCGTGCGACAGTGCCATGCGTTAGAGCTCGGCACCCTCCCGTATGAGGGTTAGGGAAGAATTACTACAGTCTTTCTCTAACGAAAGTTGTTCTATTTAATTGCTTAATAAATAGATTCATCTGCCTGTGAGTTAAGTTATTAAGTTTGCTGTGTTCTTTTGCAAGGTAGTAAGTATTTCGAACAAAAAGAGCAACATGAATTACGAAAATGGTTTAACTATGAACATTGCTAAATGAAAATCCTTTTTTAAGATCATGATCTTCGAAAATTACTCTTTGTTCTTAAAACAATAAGGACTGGAAGGTGGAAAACTAAGACTGTATGCTTTGCCGTAAGCACACCTTGCTGGCAGCTGAAAAGCTACGAATTTTAATCAAATTCAATTTCAAGTTTGTAACAAGGGTACGTTAAGGGTTTGCTGTGCTTGCAGGATGTAAACTATTCAACTAGAACCCTCCTCCAGCACCCTAATTACCTTGAATGAAGTCCTCCATGTGCGAAATTCGTGTTTCCTGCTCATCGATAATATCTTCTAAATTCCTAATGAGGCGATCCTTTGTCTAAAATTGATGAACTTTGTGTTCTATTAGTAACATGTTGTAATTTTAAAATTACATCAATTGCGAATTGGTCATTTTAACAGAAAGGAG